ATGAGACAAAGTATATGTGAACTGCTGTATGGAAAGTGAATTTGCTCTGTAAATCTTCACCCAAATCACAATTAAAAATATATATATATATATGACTGGGTGATAGAAGAAATAAATGATATTAAAAACTATTCCTTGAGTCAAATGAGAATGAAAACACAACATACCAAAATCACTGGGACACTGCAAAAACATTGATCAGAGAGCAATTTATAGCAATAGATGTACACATCAAAAAAGAAGAAAAAGCCAAAATCAACGCCTTAATCCAGTATCTCCAACAGCTAGAAAAAGAGCAGGAAAAAACAAAAAACAAACAAACAAAAAACCCTACAGTCACCAGATGAAAAGACATAATGAAGATTTGAGCAGAAATAAATGAAAAAGAAAATAGACAATCAGAAAAAAATCAACAAGACTAGAAGTTGGTTCTTTGAAAAAGTTAATAAATTCAACAAACCACTAGCAAACTTAACAGAGGAAAGAAGGACAAGGTGCAAATTAGAAATGAAATTAGTTGCATCACAACAGAAGCAACAGAAATAAAAAGAATAAAATCAGGATACTATAAAGATCTGTACTCCAACAAATTTGAAAACCTACAATAAATGGAAAGATCTCTAGAAATATACTCCTTATCTAAACTAACTCAGACTGAGGTAGAAAATCTGAACAGACCAAAGAAAAGAAGAAATTGAACAGGTCATAAAAAAATTATTAACAAAAAAAAGTCCTTGCCCAGATGGTTTCACTGGAGAATTCTACCAATCAATCTATTCCAGAACATAGAAAAGGTTGGTATCCTCTCAGATTCATTTTATGAAGCAATCTTAACCTTGATATCAAAACCAAGAAAAGACACTACTAGAAAAGAAAACTACAGACCAATATTTCTCATGAATACAGATGTAAAAATCTTCAACTAAATCCTAGCCAATAGAATCCAACAATATATCAGAAAAAAATAATAATACATCATGACCAAGTGGGATTAATACTAGGTATGCAAGGATGGTTCAACATCAGAAAAGCAATCAACATAATCAATCATATAAGTAAAATAAAGGAAAAACATCACATGCTCATATCAATAGATACAAACAAGGCATTTGATAAAACCCAACACCCATTCCTGATAAAAACTCACAGAAAAATAGAAATAAAACAGAAATTTCTCAACATAATAAAGAGAATATATATATATAACTATCAGCCAACATTAATCTCAATGAAGAGACTGAAACTGTTCCATGTGCAAACAGGAACCAGAAAAGGATGGTGTCTATCTCCACTTCTATTCAACACTGTATTGGAAGACCTAGCCAGAGCAATAAGGCAAGAAAGGGAAATCAACGGCATCCAAATTGGTAAGAAAGAAGTAAAACTATCCCAATTTGCAGATAATATAATACTACACATAGAAAACCAGAAGATTCAGCAAGAAAATTACTGGAACTTATTGAAGGATTTAGTGTAGTGTCCGGATTCAATCAACATACAAAAATCAGTTGGATTCCTGTACATCAGCAAAGAAGTCTCTGAAGAGGAAATAAGGAAATCAATACCATTTACTATAGCTACCAAAAATATAAAACACTTCAGAATAAATCTTACCAGGAACACAAAAGACCTATACAAAGAAAACTATAAAACATTACTTCAAGAAACTATAAGATATATACATAAATGGAAGAACATTCCATGCTTATGGATAGGAATATTAAACATTGTGAAAATGTCACTACTACCCAAAGCAATTTAATGTATTCCCAATCCAGAGTCTATCAAGATTCTTTAATGATATGAAAAAAAAAAAAAAAAAAAGGCCACTAATTTTATATGGAAAGGAAAGAGACCTTGGATAAGCAAAGCACTGTAGAAGAACAAAGGAGGAGGTCTCACACTCCCAGATCTATTATGCAGCCACAGTTGTCAAAACAGCCTGATACTGGTATAACGACAGGACTATAGACCAGTGGAACAGAATTGAGAACCCAGAAATAGATCCATTGACCTATGATCAGCTGATCTTTGACAGAGGGCTTAAATCCATTCAATAGGGAAGGGATAATATGTTTCACATATGATGCTGGTAAAACTGGAGATCTATTTGCAGAAAACAGAAACAAGATCCATACCTCACACCATACACATAAGTGAACTCCAGATGGATCAAAGACTGTGAAACCTAAAACTATAAAGTTCATCAAAGAAAAAATAGGGGCAAACTTAAGGACCCAAATTAATGGCATAAATAGACTCCAAAGCATAACCCAAGATGCACAGCCAGCAGAAGATAAACTAGACGACTTCTAAAAAGTAAATTCTTACGTGCCTTGAAAGACTTCTCCAAAAGAGTAAAAAGAGAACCTAAGAGTGGAAAAAATATTCAGCAATGACATATTGGACAAAGGACTTATCTCTAAAATTTATAGAAAACTCTAACACCTCGACATCAAAGGGACAAACAAATCCATCAAAAATGAGCAGAAGACATGAACAGACACCTAACCAAAGATAATATTCAGGCAGGCAAAGAACACATGAACAGGTGAACGTAATCATTAGCCATTAGAAAGATGAAAATCAAAACGACCATGAGATACCATCTTGCCCCAGCATTAATAGCAAAGTTCAACAAGACAGAAAAGAGCAAATGATGGTGAAGATGACTCTCATGCACTGCTGGTGGGACTGTGGAATGCTAACCACTGAGGAAATAAGTTTGGTTATTCTTTAAAAAGCTGGAAATAGAAACACCATTTCACCCAGCAATCCTGTTTCTAGGTATATATACTAGGTTTATATCCTAAAGAAGTGAGAGGAAGGACCTGAAAGAAAACATGCACACCCATGTTTATCGCAGCACTATTCACAATAGCAGAGAGATGGAAACGACCTAAGTGCCCATCAACCAAGGAATGAATGAACACACTATAGTACATACGCACAATGGAATATTATGCAACCCTAAAGAATAGTATAGAATCTGGAAAACACCTCATAATGTGGATGAACTTGGAAGACATTATGTTAAGTGAAATAAGTCAATCATAGAAGGACAAATATTGTATTAGTCCACTCCTGTAAAATGTCAAAGAAACATTTAATACATGGAAGGAAATTGTCTTTATTGGTTACCAGGGGTGGGAGTGGAAAGGATGGAAAATTTCTAGATAGGTTGGGGGAGGAATATATATATATACCAAAGATTAATAGTGGTTATCAGTGGTAGGTGCGAGGGGGAAAGGGGAAGTTTTTGTTTGGGGTGCATTGAGTTTATGCTAGTAGGTGATGGAATATATTGGGAAAGAATAGCAATAATGGTGGCACAACATGAAAAATGTAATGTCATGGTGGACAATGTCACCACAATAAAAGCAAAAGAAGAAAGAAAAAAAATGAGTAAACCATAGCTGTATGGGTTTATTTTGAATTCTCATTTCTTTTCCGTTCTTCCATATGTCTATTATAGTACCAGTGTCAGGCTGTTTTGATTGCTGTATCAGTATGTTGCTTTTATTGTTAGGTGCTATCAAGTGAGATATGAGTCATAGAAACCCTAGGAACAACAGCACAAAATATTGCCTGGTCCTGAGCCATCCTCACAATTGTTGCAATGCTTGAGCCCATCGTTGCAGGAACTGTGTAAATCTATCTTGTTTAGAGTCGTCCTATTTTTTGCTGACTTTCTCCTTTACAAAGCATGATGTCCTTCTCCAAACCCATATGGGACTTTTTCCTCCTGATAACATGAATAAAATACAAGAGAAGACTGGTCACTCTCACTTCTAAGGAGCATTTTGGCTGCACTTCTTCCAAGACAGATTAGTTTTTCTTTCTAGCAGTCCATGGTATATTCAATGTTCTTCACCAACACTATATTTTAAATGCATCAATTCTTCTGAAGTCTTCCTTCTTCATTGTTCATCTTTCACGTATATATGAAGCAATTGAAAATACCATGGCTGGGTTCAGTCATGCCTTCATCTTTAAAGTGACATCTTTGCTCCTAAACACTTTAAAGAAGTCTTTTGCAGTAATTTTCCCATTGTAGTGCATTGTTTAATTTCTTGACTTCTGCTTCTATGATCATTATTGTGTATCCAAGGAAAATGAAATCGTTGACAACACAAATCTTTTCTTTATTTATCATAATGTTGCTTATTGGTCTACTTGTGAGCATTTTTGTTTCTATTTTATGTTGAAGTGTAATCTATACTGAAGTCTGTAGTCTTTGATCTTTATCTTTTTTGTTTTAAACCATGCAGTATCCCCTTGTTCTGTTCAAATGATTGCCTCTTGGTCTATGTGCAGGTTTTTTCATGAGCACAATTCAGTGTTCTGCAGGTCCCATTTTTCACAATATTATCAATAATTTGTTATGATCAACAGTCAGATCCTTTTGCATAGCACATAAAACACTAGTAAACGTCTTTCTGGTATTCTCTCCTTTCAGCCAAGATCCATCTGATATCATTGATGATATCCCTCATAACACATTGCCTTTTGAATTTGGCTTGAATTCCTGGCAGTTCTCTGTCAATGTGCTGCTGCAACAGCACTTGTTTGTAGTTTTTAATTATTTTCAGCAAAATTTTACTTGCATGTGATATTAATGATATTGTTCAATAATTTATGCATCCCATTGGGTCACCTTTCTTTGGAATGGGAACAAATATGGACCTCTTCCAGTTAATTGGCAAGGTAATTGTCTTCTAAATTTCTTGGCATTAACAAGTAAGCACCTTTTGCTGCGTCCATTTGTTGAAACATCTCAGTGGCTACTCCATCAATTCCTGGATCCATGTTTTTTGCCAATTCTTATTTTGCAGCTAGGACTTTTTCTTTGAATATTATCACTTCTTGATCATATGCTACTTCTTGAAATTGTTGAACCAATATTTTTTTTGGTGTAGTAACTGTGCATTCCTTCCATTTTTGTTGATGCTTCCTGCATCATTCAATATTCTGCCATAGGATTCTTCAATATTGCAACTCATGGCTTAAATTTTTTCTTCAGTTCTTCCAGCTTGAGAAATGACAAACATATTTTTTCCTTTTGATTTTCTCACTCTAGTTCTTCGCACATTTATTATAAAACTTTTGCTTGTCTTCTAGAGTTGCCCTTTGAAATATTATATGCAGTTATTTTACTTCATTTCTTCCATTCACTTCAGGTACCCTTGATACAAGAGCAAATTTCCGAGTTTTTTCTGATAATACATTGATAATTTCTTCCTTTCCCATCTTTTAAATGGCCATTTTTCTGTCTTCACATATGGGGTCCTTCATGTCATCTCACAACTTGTCTGGTGTTTGGTCATTGGTTTTCAATGCATCAATTCTGTATTCATATGGTCTCTAACTTCAGGTAGGATATACTCAAGGTCATATTTTGCCTCTTGTGGACTTGTTTTAATTTTCTTCAGCTTCAACTTAAACTTGCATATGAGCAATTGATGGTCTCTTCCTTAGTCATTCTCCGACCTTATTCTGACTAATATTACACTTCTCTGTCATCTCTTTCAAAAGATGTTGTCAATTTGATTCCTATACATTACATATGGTGAGATCCACATGTATAATCACTATTTATGTTGTTAAGAAATGTATTTGGAATGAATAAGTTTTTGCTCTTGTAAAATTCTATCATGTGATCACTGGTGTCATCTCTATCACCGAAGCTATATTTTCCAAATGCCTCTGCTTCCTCTTGTTTGCACTTTTTGCACTCCAATCATCAGTAATTATTGTTACATTTTGATTGAATATTTGGTCACATTGATAAAAATCTTCAATTTCTTTATCTGGCTTTAGTGGTTTATGTGTAAAAAAAATTCTCTCTCTCTCTCTTTTTTCCAATTATGATTTGAAAATCAGAGCAAATTCATTTTCTATACAGCAGTTCATACACATTTTGTTTCATGACATTGATTGCAATTCCCATAATGTAACATCTCTCTTCCCACATCCTCCTTGTGGTTACCTTTTCCCTGTGTCCTTTCCTATGTGTTCCTGCCCTCTGAACTATCTCCCTGTGCAAATACTGCCCCTCTGAGATTGTTCTAAGGAATGCACTTACTTGGTGTTAAAGTTCTCCTTATATGTCTATTGTTTGGTGGGAAGCCACCAGGGTGAATTCAGTTCCAGGCCTGAAGGGTAAGTAGGGGCCACTAGTTTCACTAGTCTCTATCAGACCAGTAAGCCTGTTCTTTTTATGATTTTGAGGTTTTTTCACATTTTTTTCCCCACTCTCCAGCACTGATCCATCCCTTCCTGAGTGGTTGCCAATGGTAGCTGGGCTGAGGTTTGCATGGTCCACTAGTTGTTTGAACTAATTGTTTCCATATGTCTTTGGTTTTCTTCATTCTTCGTTGCTCTGGATGAGGAGAGACCGATTTTTGCATCTAGATTGTTGCTTGCAAATATTTAAAACTCCAGCTGTTACTCACCAAAATAGGTTGTAGAACAATATTTTTGTATAGTATGTTTTGCCAATTGAACTTGATTCCAAACCCACAGGTAAACAACTTGATCTTCTAGGGTGGTTGGCTATACTATTATTATTCATGTGTAAATTTGAATAATAATAGTAATTAATTGGTCTTTCTGGTAGGTATATGGATATTATCCTATCACTGACAGCATTATACTTCAGAATAGATATGAAGTGTTCTTTTGTCATTCCTGGCATAGTAGACCATATGATTTTCTGATTCAAAATGACCAATACCAGTCCATTTTAGTTCACTAATGCCTAAAATATTTATTTTATGCATCCCATTTCAGTTTTGAAGACTTCCAATTTTCCTAGGTTCTTATTTCATATATTCTACATTCCAATTATTAATGGATCTTTGCAGCTGTTTCTTCTCATTACGACTCTTGCCACATCAGCAAATGAACATCCCAAAAGCTTTACTCTGTCCACATCATTAAGGTCTACTCTACTCGGAGCCAACTTTTCCCCAGTCATATTATCAATGCTTTTCAGCCTGTGGGACTCACCTTCCAGCACAATATCTGACAATGTTTCACTGCTATTCATAAAATTTTCAGTGGCCAACTCTTTCAGAAGTTTACCATCCCTTTCTACTTCCTGTTGTTGTTGTTGTTATGTGCCGCTGAGTTGGCCCCCGACTCATAGCAACCCCTCCTTGGGTTTCCAAGGCAGTGTCACTATGGAAGTAGATTGTCCAACCTTCCTTCTACTTCCTAAGTTGTCTTAATTTGAAAGCTCTCCTGCAAACTTTCCACAATGGGGGACCCTGCTGGTATTTGAAGCAGCAGTTGCATAGCATCCAACATGACAGCAGCATGCAAACCATGACAGTATGTCTAACTGACAAATGAATGGTGGTTATACTGTATAGAATGCATTAAAACCAGGATACATGACTCCTCCTTCCTTACTCCTCTTTTTTAACATTGCTTGTTTTATTCTGGGCCTCTTGCCTTTCTATATAAAGTTGAGGATTGTTTTTCCTATTTCAGGAATTGATCAGGATTGTGTTGAATCTATAGGTTGCTTTGACATCTAAACAATATTAAATCTTCCAATCCATGAACATGAATAATCATTCCTGTTATATAAATCTTCTTTAATGTCTTATAATAATGTTTTATAATGTTCATTTTATAAGTCCTTCATGTTCCTGGGAGCTCTTGTGGCATAGTGCCTATGGCATTTGACTGTGAACCAGAGGCTGGTGATTCAAATCTACCAGCCACTCCACAGAAGGAAGACTGGGCAATCTACTTCTGTACAGATACCACCTCAGAAAACCAAGAAGGGGTCATTAAGTCAGAATCAACTTGACAGGAGTGAATTTGGTTTGTTTTGGTTTTCATGTCCCTAGTTAGATTTACTTGTAAGTATTTAATTCTATTAGATGCTATTGCAAATGATATTTTTTCCCCTAATTTCCTTTAAATTCTCATTGCTGATATATAGAAACCAGCTTGTTGTGTGTAGTTGTTCTTAATATTCTCTCATAATTTTTTTTTTTTTCCTGTCAGGTCAGTTATAATGTCCACTCTTTCATTCTTATTTTGGCTATTTGAATCTTATCTAATTTTTTTTTTTCTTTATCAGTCTTCTAAAAGTTTGTCAAACTTATTGATCTTTTTTTAAAAAAATCAATTGCTGGTCTTATTGATTCTTTCTATTTTTTTTTTTTTTTCTGTTTTTGAATTGACTTATTTGTCATCTGATCTTCATTATATACTTTCTTCTGTTAAGTTTAAGGTTAGTTTGCTCTTCTCTTTTTAGTTCCTAGAGTTATTAAATTGTTGATTTGAGATTTTTCTTCTTTTTTCATGTAGGCATTTATAGAACATCTTGTACATTACTAATGTTAAGCTGGAACCAATTTACCCTATTTGTGTTGTTGTTAGATGTCATGGAGTAGGTTCCATGTCATAGCAACCTCATGTACACAGAACAAAGCACTGCCCACTCCTGCATCATCTTCATAATTGTTGCTATGCTTGAGCACATTCTTACAGCCACTGTGTCAATCTTTTTCTGAGGGTCTTCCTCTTTTTTGCTGATTCTCTACTTTGCCAAGTGTGATGTCCTTCTCCACAGACTGGTCCCTTCTGATTACATAACCAAATAATGAGAGAAAAAGTCTCACCATCCTTGCTTTTAGGGAACATTCCGGCTATACTTCTTGCAAGACAGATTTGTTCATTCTTCTAGCAGTCCATGGTGTATTCAGTATTCTTCTCCAATGCTATAATTCAAATGAATCCATTCTTCTTCAGTCTTCCTGATTTCACTGTCTAACTTTCACATGTATATGAGGGAATTGAAAATATCATGGTTTGGGTCAGGTGTGCTTTAATCTTCAAAGTAACATCTTTGATTTCTAACACTTTAAAGAGGTCTTTTGAAGCAGTTTTGCCAAATGCAATACAATCTTTGATTCCTGACTGCTCTTTCCATGGACATTGATTGTGAATCCAAGTAAAATGAAATATTTGACAACTTCAGTCTTTTTTTTTTCTTTTATCACAATGTTGCTTATGATCCAATTGTGAGGATACTTGTTTTCTTTATGTTGAGGTGTAATTCATATTGAAAAGCTGTAGTCTTTGATATTCATCAGTAAGTGCTTCAATCCCTCATTTGCAGCGAGCAAGGTTCTGTCATCTGAGTATCACAGGCTGTTAATGAATCTTCCTCCAATTCTGATGCTTCATTGATCTTCATATAATCAGGCTTCTCATATTATTTGATCAGCCTGCAGTTGAGGAAGTGTGGTGAAGGGATACAACCCTATGTCACACCTTTCTTCATTTAAACCATGCTGTATACCCTTGTTCTGTTAAAAGACTGCCTCTTGGTCTATGGATAGGTTCCTCATGAGCACTTTCCCTAGAATGGTATAAACACAGACTGTTAAATGTAATGGTAAGCACTAAGCAAATGTCTAAAAAGCATGAACAAAAGGATAAGCTAAGGGAATCAAAATGGCTTACTACAATAATCCAACAAACACAAAAACAAGCAGTAGTAAATGACAAAGACAAAGAAGCTTAGACACAGTAAAAAACAAATAACAAAATGACAGCAGTAAATTCATTCTTATTGGTAATTACCAGTAAGACTGTGAATGGACTACCTGCTCCAAACAACAGGCAGAGATTGGCAGAATAGATGGGAAAAAAAAAAAAAAAAAAAGGATCCATCTCTATGA